AGTTACTTTTTCGTATAAATATATCAATTTTGTTTAAAAAATCAGACTTATTTTTAAACTTAAATGTTAATTAATAAAATATTTTCTTTGAAGTCAGTGTTGCAGTCAGATAAACTTATGAGAAATGTGTATAAATGACAATTGTCAATACTATACATCTTCGACATTCAGTGAATCAATAGGTTTAGGTATAGTTCTTTTATCTGAAAAAAATGAAATGTGTGTGATTAAATATGCTTATTTTTAATACTTCTTTACTGGTATATAACAAATTTCAGGTGATAAAAATGAAAATAACCACATTAATATTTTTATTCATTATTGGAGTTATCAAATCCATGATATAACTCCATAACTACCAAAAAATGTTTTATTTTTATTTTTAAAATGATGAGCGGCTATAAGTGCAACTCAGCCACCTTGGTAGGCGATGTGTGATAATTGAATTGTATGCATGCTTATACTTGATCTGCCCGATGAACCACTGCAGGCAACCAATAAACAATAATAAATACCAATTTCTACTAAATATATTTATATTTCTCCTTTAACCTATAGCAACCGTACACAAACAAATATTTACTTCGTAAATCTTAAAATCCCTGTTTGAGCAACTCCCTGGGTTGGACCTATAGGATCTAATTGAAAATCTAAACCATCTAGAGCGTCACCCAAAGAAATTCATTCAAATCGGTAAAGCCGTTTAGGAGGAGTTCAGTGACATACACACGTACAGTAGAATTATTATATGTATAAAGATTATTTTTTTTTATTATTATTTTGAACATTCAAAAACTTAATACAATACTAATTTTCTTTTCCGATGTTTATGTATTGCATATTTTATGTAACAAATAATCAAGTATTTAAGATATATATTTTTTTTTTTTTTTTGCTCATGATTAACGAAATTAATAACAATCGATAATTTTTTTTTAGAACATTATTAATATTTTGAGAATATTAAGAATATTTTTGGAATATTTCATAAATTTGTCTACATTTAAACATCATATTTCAAATGTTTTAACAGAATATAAACACAGGCTCTAGTCATGACTCGATGTAATTTACAAGTCACTGTTTAATTAGCTACCAGAGAGAAAAAGTGATTTAATCTGTATAAAATCTACTTATTTTATTCTTCAAAACCTCTAATAGTGATTGTAGATAATGATAAAACCATAAAGCTAAAAAAAAATATTAACTCACCACATCCTGAACATATTTCTTCATCGATGTTCATGTAGTAGACATTCCACATTTTTCTTATAAAAATGCAATATGCTAGCAGAACGACTATCCACAATATAGTCTTTGAGTAAATGGATTCATACCCTGATATGTACTTCATTCCAAATTGATTTAAATTTAAAATATATATTTTATAATATCCAATATGTACCTAATGAAAAAAGTAATGTGATTGTATAAATACTTCATATTAATATAGGTAAATATTATACGTTTTAAGTTGAAAGAAAATAAATTCAACCAACTGCTTTTGTAAGTATTCTGGTTAGGTTAAGGAAATTGATGATTGTTCCGATTTTGACAGTTGTTGTACACAGTTTTAGATCCACTTAAAAATGTATCCTGAAACGAATACAATATGTATCTATGTTATAACTTTGACTAACAGTGTATCTGTGTAACTGTAATGTATGTGTTAAATATTGTAATTGAATGATAAATAAATACTGTCTGTTAGCATATAATATATATATATATTCTATGATATTTATATTGCTATTAATGTAACTTATTTTACTATTAGTAAGACGGAAAGTTGAATTAATTTTTACCGAAAACATTGTATTTATTATATTATCAACATACTACCATCAATTAGTACCTACCAATGTATCTACTAGTTATGAACTTTTGAGTCTATACTGACTTACTGTAGAACTACGTGAATAGGTTTGGGGTAAAAAAAAACAGTAATAGCTTAAAATTAATCTAAATTTTTTGAAAATGTTACTATGTAGATGTATAAAATATATATATTTATAAATAATATATGTTTAAATTTCAAGTGTAATATAGCAAACAATATTTTTGAATTACAAAAGAATAACTAAAATTATTATTGTCTGTTTAAATATCTAATTTTCAATTTTTAAAAGTACAAACTATGTAGAATCTTTTATTAAACATTCAAATTTTATCTACACTTTAAAAAAAAAACTTTAATTTAGGACAATTTTAAATGACTATAAATAGCCTAAATAGAGTGAAATATTTTGAAAATTACATTGAGCATTGAAAATGAAAATTTAATTAGCAGTTTAAAAAATTGTATGTTTCAATTTTTACATTTAATACTTATTGAATTATTGCAATAACACGTTTGATAAGAGTTCGTTATTTTACACATGAATATCCAATTCGTCAAAATATACATTTTGTATACTCTATACCAGGGGTGGCAAACTTTTTGAACACTATTAAAATTACCTTTCTTTTCGAGAGTGCCATGAAAAATATTTTGTTATATTCGAACATATTAAACGCAATATTATGTAATATGTAATATTATTTCATTTACAGATAAAATTGAATAATCGTTATTGACCGATAAAAGCCATATGCTCAATTTTTTTTTACCTATTTTAGTATTATATAATATAATATATATTGTAGTAAAAATATTTTAATTTTTCGCGTGCCACTTTGGGCACGCGTTCCATGGATTTTCCATCCCTACTCTTTACCCTTATAAAAAATTACTTCATACATTTAAACATTTTTTAAATGTTTTTGAGTAATCTTACAGTAAAATCTATTGAATCGAATACAAAATTATTTTTATTAAAATATTTTTCAAAAGTATGAAATATTGTTTTGTCTAAATTAATTTGTGTCAAAACAGATTAAAAATCTTTTATATTTTCAAAAAATAATATTAGGTGATTTTACACTAAGTTTATTTAAAAATAAAAAATAATTTTATGTGAAAGTGTTTTATCTATATAACGTGGGTCTTAGAGAGAAAACAAACATTAAGCTAATCAGATTATGAGACTGCTACATTCAGGTTAGTATAGCACAGAAAGATATAAAATCTAGTTGATTTGATTTGATATTTAGAAAAAAAAATGAAAGAATACTTGTTCTATAATACCAAGTAAACAGAAACCAGTATCTTAAGTCTTATTAAAAAAATATTAACATTAAATGTTGATTACGAAAAAGTCCAACTTAGACATTTCAATGATTTTTAGTTTTTCACTTAATATAATGTTTTATTTTTTTGATGGTTTGATAAATGCTTAAAGTAATACTTTACCTTTTTCAGTACGTAGCAGTTGTTTAGTATGGTATGATGATGATATATCCTCTTGTTTGTTTTTAGAATTCGGTAGATGATGATGCCGGATACGATTTCTGGTTTATAAACCACTAATAATACTAACAACAGATGCAAAGTTATTATGAGTGCAGCTGCCACGATACTAGCCTCTATTTTCTAACTTGTTCCCGGTGGGAGGCTATAATATACTATAAACTGACGTGGCTGTTGGATCCCCACCTATCATATTTCTTCCGACAGGTGTAAACCACGCTTTAAAAAAAATATATATATGTTAATATATAATATAGCATACAACACGACAAACAAACACCGGGAAGCGTATTTACGCACCCTAACTGGACTGGGGCACTAATGCCCGATTCAAGTTAGACGGGCGGTTGTATACTCTCGATAGTATGGTAAACTCTCCCGAGTCAATATTATGTTTACCTGAAGTAAATGTGTAAACTCTCCTGAGTTTTTTTAAATGTTATTGCACACACAGCTATACACAGCTTCACTGCAGGAATTGTGATTATCATTTTAAATATTTATTATCAATTGTATTACCGTTAATACGTATTTGTAATTTAAATATTTAAATATTTTATTACCGTCAACCTATTTTTAATTTAAATATTAAAAACAATATTGACTATAATGGCTCAACCAAGTTTTTCAACATTACCAACTGCGTAATACGAATAATGCCCCAGTAAAGCCCCAAGTAAATAAGCGGACTGTATAATTAAATATTAAAAATATCACACTGGTAATAAACAATATAATAGTATCCGCCTGTTTGGCAATATAACAAATAGATAATACTTAATAATATAATATAACAGACAATATAATAACAATATCAAATATAAAACCAACTAGAAGGCAACAAAGTATAACAAATAAGTATAATAATAAAAATATAACTATGTGATGCACCACGTACCTTAATATGATTATGATGCCATGTGGTGCCCAGATCCGTATATAATAATTTTAAGTTACAATAAAAATAACAGGTTGATCTGGCACACTCACATGATACCGCTAAACATATCACGAATAATCCTTATAATATGTATAAAAGAACAGGCATTTTTTATGTACCAATTTTGTGACGACGCTATTTAACTTTTTTCCAATTTTTTTTCACAAAGTGGTTCCAAATACCTTCGTGAGTGTCACCACGTCGCCCGATTTTCAAGGGTTGAAATTTTCAAAAATAAATGTTTACGTGTAATTTGTAATAATGTATAATAATAACAATAGCAGTCAGCCGATAACGGGAAATACGGTACGGCACGGCGGTCCGAAGGTTTCCGTCTACCTGGACTTTCACCTTTTTTTTGTATGTGTTATGAATTGTTACAAGGCTATATAATATATAAAGAGTTGTATAGAAAACACTGACTAAAAATAATAATACATTGCTTATCGAAATGCGATAAACGTGTTACGACCGACGATCCGCCAGACAACGAATGCGCGCCGATTGTTGGTTCATCATTGTACTGCGACTGTGATCAGTGAACTGTTCGCGTTTGTGTGGTGATTCCCTAAATTATTTAACTACAATTGTCATTTACATTATGAGTAAAAACCACTGTACTGCCTTAGCAATACATAATTCATATTTAAACGACGATGTTATTAATGCATTTTAAGGTTGAAAGTAAAACAATTGTCTCTTATTGTAAATATGCGAACCAAATTAACAGGAGATATACACGCAGGAGAATTTTCTACATTACTCTTAAATATTGGTAGTGGAACTGTAAATGATAAGGATGTGTACATAACAATTGTAAAAAAACTAGCAGTATCGACAAATTCGTTGGAACAACTCATACAAAGTGTGTTCCAAGATATTGGGAATTTGAAAAATCTGAATAGTGAATGGTTATGCGAACGCGTTATTTTAACAACTACAAATAACCGAGCTGACACAATAAACTTACTAATAGTTAGTGGAATTCAAGCACTAGAAATGGATTACTTTTCTATCGGTTATTGATAGTGAAGAATCGGTACATGTTCCTACAGAGTTCTTAAATTCACAAACACCATCTGGTATGCCTCCTCATAAAATATCACTGAAGGTGGGGATTCCAATCATATTATTGAGAAATTTGAATTCTCCTAGATTATGTAACGGGACTAAGCTTCGTGTCACCTCTCTTACAAAAAATGTAATCGAAGCTAAAATTTTGACCAGATGTGCTAAGGGAGAAAAAATATTTTTACCGAAAATACCATTATACCCCAACGATTTTCCAGTTAAGTTTAGAAGAGTTCAGTTTCCAATAAAAGTCTGTTTTGCAATGACAAGAAACAAAGCTCAAGGTCAGACTTTAATTTATTGTGGTGTAGATTTAGAAAATAACTGTTTCTCACACGGACAATTGTATGTGGTATTTTCTAGAGTTGGAAGACCTGACCATTTGTACGTTTATGCACCACAAAATAAAACTCTAAATATGGTATACCAAGAGGTTTTGACTTAAACCATATTAAAATTGAGCAACTATGTATCATTTGTAAATATTCATAAAAAAAGTTATGTATAATTATAGAAACATTTTTTAATAACAATATGTGTATAGAATCATTAGTATCATTTGTAAATACTATTATTATTTTTTTTGTTGTCTTTATAATTCAGCAACTACTACTTTTTTAGCACATAATAGCATTAAGTAAAATACATTTTTTTTCTTCTTTAAAACACAACAATTTGTCTTGATTTAAGAATTTAATTTTGATAAAACAAAAACTACACACGGGTGAAACCGGGTAATTCAGCTAGTCAAATAATAAAACTGCAACACACAGTAAAGAAGCAGCCAAATTATACAAAAGGACAAAACGACGAGTTCATCACTAACGATGAACATTATAAAAAGGACCTCCTGCAAATATAACAATGTTCAATGACCGCAGCAGAAGGTAACCAAACGATACGTACCAATTATGAGAAAACCAGAAAACCGTCATTCACCGAATAATAAACAAACCACGTGGATATGATAAGGAACAATGGACGCATACAACTAAAACCAGAGAAGATATATTGAGCAGTCAGCACACAACTTGCTGTTTCGAGAGCACCGAAAAATAAAATAAAAATAAAAATGGTACAACAGACCATACCGAATACAAAATAATAATATGAACATAGGAACGATATTCAGTGCCATACACAGAATAATATAAAAACAAGCAATCATTTTACATATGGTGGCATTGATGCAATGACTGCACCATAGAATAACAAATATAGTATCCAAAAATACCTAAATAAAATTACATAATAATAACAGAATAATAGTGATAACTAATGCTGATTATATCTAACAGCTTGTGAGCATGAACAATGAGCGTAAGCTAAAAAATATCATCTCTTCTCGATCCAAGGTATAAGGATTTAGAACACGGGGTAATTGAGTCCAGAGATAAAATTCAGAGTTGCAAAATATACTAGAAACTTCACATGTATTTGTTCCAACGACTGGCAATCCAAAAACTTCATATAAAACATAAAAGTGCCATGGAGTTTCTTTACGGTGATGAAATAATAGACATAAACGATCCAAAATTGCAATTACAAGGTTATCTAGCCGAACATCAGCTTAGATTCGACATAGATCCTTTTGAGTGGTGGAACACAAGAACAGCGAAGTATCCAATACTAGCTGACTGTGCAAAAAAATACTTAGCAATACTAGTGACATCTATCAGGTCTGAAAGATGTTTTTCAACTGCTGGAAATATCGTTACTCAAAAAAAGAACTGTTTGTTGACAGAAAATGTAAATACCTTAGTTTTGCTGTATGAAAGTAGAAATTTAATTGATTAAATATTTATTAACTTACGTTACATATGTTTAAAAATTAATACATATTAGAATTTAGAACACATATTGTTGTAATATTGTTAATTATTTAAAATGCATTGTTATTGTTATTTATATTCTATTTTTTGCCTTTATTTGATTATATAATTATTATAATATATGTAGTTAATTTCTATTGCATCTAGTACTTACTACTTATGAATTTAGTATTAATATACTATGACTTTGAAAGTATCCGTGTTATTAAATACATGTGCATTTCTAAATACCCGAAAATCCGTGTATTATTAAATACACGGGTTAATGCACGTGTTTCATAATTACAGGTGTATCCGTGTATTTAAGTACACGTGAAATAGTAAGCCCTAGAAAGGAAATATTTTTAAAAAAACCAACAATGTGTGTTAGAGAATTTCATACAATTTTCTCGAACGCTAGTAGCTTGGCTAGAGGAAATTGGATGTGATATCAAAATGCCAAGAAATGCAAAAACTCTAATACATCATGATAATTACCCTGCAACGAACGCTGAACTAACACTTATGTTCCATTATTTTACACTATTAAATCAGATATAACCAACAGGTTATCAACAGAGACATTGGAAGCATTTGATTTGCGTTTGCTTATACCAAGTGTTATTGTTAAATTAAATGACACTGATGGTTGGGACCGACAAAAGGTATCTTAAAGAGTCATTACACTATCCAAAAAAGTTTTCTAATCTTTTCACTGTTTCCGAAAATGTAATGGTTGATATGTTAGGAAGTAACATTTTTTTTTTTAAATAATGCAATCTAATATATAAAATTATCGTGTCACAGTGTTTGTTACCATACTCCTCCAAAACGGCCTAACCGATTACAATGAAATGTTATACATATGTTACTGATTTAATGAATCATATGCAAACCACGATGGAATATATATGTCACTTCTTCCTGACCCTGTAACCATACTACTTTTTGCTTTGCGACGGCATCCTCTGTAGCTTTGTAGCAAGTTAGATAATTTTTTGCTAACAATATCAGCAGTTGTTCCAAATTTCTTAGCAATGTTTTGAAATGCATCAATTTTTTTGTTCTTCATTTTTTTATCTTTATTTTTTGGGTCCCATAGACAAGGGTGTTCTTTCACCTCATCTATAAGGTTCAAAATGATGTCTTCTGTCCATTCAAATTCCATGTTTACTTTAAACAATAGTCAATAATCAATTAGAAACATATTTAAATAGAATAGAATAATAGAGTACATATTATATTATGTAATATTTTAAACGTCAAAAGGAACATGTAATTAATAGAAAAGATACCTATTTTATATATTTTGTTATTTTAATATTTGT